AACTCAGCGACATTGGTTTCTAATTCACAAAATAGAAGGTACTAGGGCTGTGAGGATCATATCAACATTGTATGTAAACCTACTCTATTGGCAAACATCTACCCATTTCAATAACCTAATGTTCAATCCCAAGGAGCCCTTATCCCAAGATGATGTCAATGGTGCTCCACTTTAGAACCATCCTTGCATATTTAATAATCCCCAGATGGAGTCACCATCCATCTTGGACCCTTACTTGGGAACATAAAATAAAGGCCTCTGTGTTATGCTCCCCAATAGACCCCACTTCCCCTCCCTGATGAATCAATCCTCTCTTATACTCACTTTTGACAATTGTAGCCAAAGTGTTGTTCAAGTCAACAAGTCGTATTGAGCACAAGCTGTGTGCTTCAGGAAAGGACCGTATTTGGTAAAGTTGAGGGACAACAGACATGAAGGGACTCTTCCATGAGCTGACCTGACGCAATCGCAGAAACAATGGACACAAGGCACCCGTGATCATGAAGACGGCCCGGGGCTGAGCAGAGTTTCAGTCAGGGGTACATAGGGTCACCAGGAATCCGGGTGACAACGAGCAGCAACGAGCTGGATGCGTTGTGGCCATTGTGTGCCATTGAGTCAACTCCAACTCATAGTGTCCTGTCTTCGAAAGAACCAAACACTGCCTGGTCCTGCATCAGCCCCACGATGCCCATTGTTGCAGCCACTGTGTCCCTCCACCTTGTCCAGCGTCCTCCTCTTTTTGGCGGAGCCTGTCCTTTACCAAGCATGATGTCCTACTGCAGGTTCAGTCCCCTAGTCTCATCATTCTGGCTTCCAGGGAGCATTCTGGTTGGACTCGCTCAGGGTATTTTTTGGCTGTCCATGATATATTCAATATTCTGCATTCATACCATAATTCAAGCGCATCAATTCTCATTAGACCTACCTGATTTATTGTCCAGCACAGTACACATGTGGTCGTTCTTATTAGGTGCTGGCAAGTAGGTTCTGACACATGGCTACCCAGTATACAACAGAACAAGACACTGCCAGGCCCCGTGCCAGCCTCACAATAGGTGAGCCCATTGTGGCAGCCCATAGAATCCTTCGAGATTACAACTCTTGAATTTTTTCCCTCAGTTTTTTCAGCTTGAAAGACACTGAGTGTGTTCTTCCTTTGGGACTTTTTAATTCCAGGTCTTTGCAGGTTTCATGATAATACTTTATAATACATTATAATGCTTCTTTCTCAAGGTACCCTTCTGTTCGGCTCTTTTGCTCCATTATTTCTTCCATTCACTTTAGATAGCCTGTCTACTGAACAAGAGAAATGGGGGGAAATGAGGAGGGAAAAACACCCAAGTATTCTAACCCAACCATTCCAAAAGCCCAACCATTCCAAAAGGCTTTGCCGCCAGTGTTTTCCCTGCAGTTGGCACTGTTGTGCTCTTGTTCACTTGCCCCAATGATGTCATCCTGTGGTTGGCATTCTTACTGGCCGAACAATGGTGCGCCCAGAGGATGCCCTGGGATGTATGCCCATTCTGATTGCTCTTGATACTTTGTCCTTTCAAATGGCAAATTATACGGAACAGCCAAGAGAGTGCGCCCTTTTGTTTTGCAGCTCTCCCCTTTTCAAAACCGAACCCAAAACCTGGAAAAAAAGTCCAAAAACAAAAGGAATCCGAAGAAAAAAACAAAGAAGGAATTAAAAGGAAAACCCCAAAATCCCTCCCCCAACCCTGGAATAAACCCCCCCACCAAAAAAAAAATAGGTGCATTGATTTATAAACATAATCCAACTTAAAACAATGGTTATTTTTTGTCAGGCTTGCTTCCTGTTGACTGAGTTCTGCTCTCACTGAACGAGTTTATTTGCAGTTGTCCCATTAGTACCACTGGAACCCGTTTGTAGAACGACCATCATGGCATTCCCTGTGAGCTAAATGACAAAGAACCAGAAAATGACATCTCAGTCACCGGGAAATGCAGGCAGTTATGCCCTCCCTGGGCTGGATGGACACAGCGACTGCAGCAACCGGCCCAGGCACGGGGACCAGTGTGAGGATGGCAGAGACTGGGCAGTGTTTTGTTCTGCTGTGCAGAGTCGCCATGAGTCGAATCAACTCAGTCGCATCGAACAACGAAGCTCTCTGACCGTGAAGTGGGCCATCCTGGAACTGGTCATTGGGCCTGTGTTGCCCAACTGTTGGGTTGTCATACATAACGTCAAACACAGCACCTTTTAATGCTTGCTGCTGCGCCGCTCTGCCATGGGCATGGATTCTATACATGCCTTCCACTTGGCATTCAAGGCATAAAGAACACGGACGTGGCAAGCGAGCAGGAGAGGAGTCTTGATTTCTAACAGTGACCCCGAGGGTAGCCTGGGTGCTCCTAAGGCTTACACGGGCTTTCCCAACTGTTCACCTTTGAAGGGCTGCTTCCTGAAAGGAATTTCTCAGAAACGTTGGGACTTCCGGGGGATCACGCCCCAGTCCTGTCCACCAGTGCCATCGGCATTATTCTTTCCTTTTAAATGAAGTAGGTAATTTCGCAAGTGACTTTCTTTCTTTTTAACCATTTCACCAACCTACAATTCTCATCTCATACATTCCAGTGGTTCCATCCCGCTCACAGGGCTTGTGCGCCCAGCTGTCACCACAAACAATTCCTGGAGATTCCTACTTCTTTGGGCTCATTGTTGGTAGATCCCCATTTCCTGCCAGCCTCCCCTGCTGTGGCCCTTTGAATCTATTGGCCCAGCGGTTGTCTCTGTCCGTTTGCCTAATCTGGGGATTACTCTTACTCTGGTTCGTATTTCTACCGCTTTGCCATCTGTGAGTGGGCTGCCTTCCCTCCCGCCAATGGAGAAAGCACAGGCACGGAGCAAGCTTGGCCTGGAATGATTCTGAAAGTCCAGTGGAAGGATTTTGACAGTTGACACAGCTCTGCACCCAGCCCCTGAGGCACCCAGCAGTTGTAGTGCCTTCCCAATCCACATGACGCCAGGGGTCACCAGGGGTCGGCAAACATCCCATATCGACTAACTCTCCTACCTTTGAATTGTTCACTCTTTCCCCCCACTTATTAAAGAAGCCCGCTTTCTGCCGTTTTCTCAAAACTCCAACAAGCGTCAACTTGCACTTCATTTCAAGGAAGAGCTTTGTTCATGGGTTAAGAAGTGAATGGCAAAAGAGAAGAAGTCACTTGAGAGCCTCTGAATTTCCCCTGTGAATGGTCCAAGCACGCCAGAACAACCTTCACCCCAGCGGTGCCCAGCCAAGGGGTGATGACCTCCTGGTCAGCCATCCCGGGCCCAGGATGACCCTGCCAGCATTCGGGGAGTTTGGCTCACACCCGGTTATCCCAATTAAAGCCTCTCTGACCTCCAGCTCCCCACAACCAAGAAAACCAGTTTTACCACTCAGAGCAATCAGTCTATCCTCTTTCACCCCGGCAGCTGAAGGCAAAGCAAAGGAAAGGGTGGAACCAGCAGCTCAGAGGACAAGGCAGGAGTCTAGAAACACAGCCCGCTTGATGCAATTCAGAAATGTGAGGCACGAAGAACCCAGAGGGGAGCCTGTGCTCCCTGCCCAGCACCTAAACAAGCCACAAAGTTCCTCGTCCAAGTGAGTGCCTGCGAGGTGTCGAGAAACCACCACCAGAGACCACGAGAGGCTGACATTGCTGCCGCCTCGCACACCCACGGGAGGAAGAGCCCAGGCCCAGAAGTGACCCAGCTTCCAGCTCGGAACAAACTGGTATGGACGCTAAAGCAGCCTCCGGGAATTCCCAGGGGATGAGGACGCATACAGATACCACCGCTTCACTTGTGCTCTGGAAGTGGTCAAAACCTTTGTTTGGGGGCGTCTGTCTCACCATCTCACGGCATCCTCCCCCACCACCCCCCAGCCCCTGGAGCCAACGGACCAGTGTGGGGGCAATGCCCTGGGCCTCCTCTGCCAGGCTCAGCACCAGGTCTTTGTCATCGCTGATAATGTTGCTCTTTTTTTAAGTTTTTTTGTTTTTGTTTTTGTTTTTTGCTGCTGCTGCTGCTTTTTAGTTCTACTCTAGCCGGTATGGTCACTGAGTGGAATAGACTCAGTGGCAGTGTTGTTCGCTCGTTCGTTCGTTTGGTTGGTTGGCTGGTTCCTTCGTTTAGTGGTCTCTTCTGAAATTGATAACCCTCTAAATACCTCCTATGAAGATTTTTGTTCAAAGTGTGCCTCCATAATCTAAGTACTATCAATGTTCAATTTTTAACAAAGGGAGCCTTGTGTGACGGTGTTGGAAATTAGAGCCCAGTGGAACCAAGTTTATCTTGAGAAGTGGGCTTTAAGAAACCTGAAGGCTTGATAATGCTAAAGAAAATATGCAACAGATGGTGCCTCCAGCTTGAATGCAATGTATTTTGATAGGAAGCTCAGGAAAAGGGCCGGGTCCTTGATTTGGTATGATTTCTTCCCCCTACGTTCCTCCCTGTGCTACTTTTTCCAATCGCATGAACAGTTCGACAGTTTTTAATAAGTATGAAACAGTCTCTGCATGGACACCGAAGGGGGTCTTTTAAAATATAAAAACCACTTGGTGAGGTTTGGGAAGTGTGTGTCTTGCTATTTGTTCAATGGAAGTACAAGAGAGTTTCAAAACATCCACAGGGGACTGGGCGGGAGAGGGGGTCCCTGTTATCTTTTCATTCCATTTCCCACAAACTTTTTTTAAAATGTCTTTTGGTGTGCATTAGGTGGGGGTTTCCATTTTAGCCCGTGGTTGTTATATTCGATGATTTAAACAACTCATCAGGCCTCCCGAGAGCTTTCCCTGTCCCCATACCTCCTTTGTCCCTCTTCTCCCTTCTGTGGGATACTATCTTCTCTTCCACCCAAGTTCTCACCTGTCCACCCTCTAACCTGTTCCTTCCCCTTCTCGCCCTTCCCCTCTCAGTACTGGATCTTGAAGCCCGTTGATCTGACCCCTCACTCGGCAAACACAGCTGCCAGAATCCGGCCACTCACCTGTGATCAGGACTGCCTTCTGGTCCACAGGTAACAGCTCCTGGCCATATAGGTATGCCAAGAGGAGGAAGCAGGACAGGACAACGAGCAGCACGCCGCAGTAGAAGGGCATGAGGAGCAGGCAAGCTGCTCCCCAGAGGCCCACCAAGTAGATGGCCTTGCTCCCCACCTGTCTGGGGCTCTTCTTGAATTTGCAAACAACCGTCCCCGCCAACACTGCAGCAACAACCAGGCAGAGCCATGCTGCTGGCTCAGGGACACTGGTGTTCATTCTCAGCGACCAGAGGCACCGCCACGTCCCCGGGGCCAGCGAGGTTGGTGGGTAAAGGCTGGCAGGAGAGGGCCTGGGTTATATGAATGGAAAGGCAAGAGCAGCCCTGGCACTCTGTGAATAAGCAGGATTTAGAATACTTATGCAGGCACACAATTCCAGCGGGGAGTTTAAACTGGCCTGCAGTCTGTTATAAATACCAGGGCACTTCCTCTCCGACAGCGCCCTCCACCCCCCACAGGTACCCCCTGCATGTAAACACACGCTCACACACACACACACACACACACACACACACACATTCACACATACACACAGTGTTTAACACAGCTGCTCCCTCCACCTCTAGACAGATATCACTGGTTGGACAATCATTGACAGAATCTGAGCTAAAGGGTAAATAGCAAAACCCCCAGTTGGCAAGAAAGCCCTCTCTTAGGCTTTAGAAGCCCGTGGCATGTCTACTGAGTCTGCGTGTGTGACAAGGCAGGTGGCCGCGCAGTTTGGAAGCTGAAAGGGAGTGGGTGACATTGCTGATGAGGTATTTGTCCTTGGCCTCCGGAAGCTCCAGGCCAGCTGGCCTGGAGGGTGAGAGATTGCCTGCATAACCTCTCAGATCGAGTCCACAGGACTGCGTTCAGCTCCTCGTCTATCCCTTCTCTTTTGTTCCATACCAGCCCCCCTTCTGGGAACTGGGGCTCAACAGTGGGCATGTGCAGTCTCTTCGACTCCAGCGCCCTCCTGAAAGGGCATCTCTCCTAGTGTTTTTTGCAGACAAGGAAGCCAAGGCTCAGAGAGGTGATGAGACTTGCTCAAGGTCACCCAGCACTGCACTTCAGAGCTTTATATTCTTAATTCTCAACTCTATTGCCCAGTTGGGGCGGGGGGCAAGAGTACATTGTACATTAGCAAATTGCCCCCCCCACGCCCCCCACCCATAATGCTGGTCTCTCTGGGACCATCGGCAACCCTGCTAGGTGGATATCAATATGCTCATTTCACAGAGAAGAAAACTGAGGCTAGGGAAGGTTTAGTTAATTAACATATCTGAGTTGGCACGGTAAGTGATTGATTTGGATCCATCCCCAACAATTTATTGACTCAATAGCCAGTGACCTGGAGGGGCACCTTTGCCGATCATTGCCAGCAATGCTGATGGCCCCCTAGGCCCCCTCCCATTTGGGTTCAGAGCACATGTAAGGTGTGTAAGGGACCAAGACCCTTACAGGCGCTGAGCATGGTGGTTCGGGGTGTGCACATGGCTATCAAGAGAGACAAGAGCACCCTGAGGCCAAAAACCAACAACCAAACTCACTGCCATCAAGTTGATTCTGACCCACAGCAACCCTATAGAGCAGAGAAGAGCTGCTTCCATGGGCTTCCAAGCCTGTAAACAGGGGTGGGGAAAATCGGGGTGGGGAATGTCTGGCCCTTGAGCCATATAACAACAACAACAAAACTACCATTGAGTCAATGCTGACCCATAGCAACCACCCTCTGTGGATTTCTGAGACTGTAACAGTTTGCCCAAGTAGAAAGCCCAGTCTGTCTCCTCGGTTGCTGCTGGTGGTTTCGAACTGCCGACCATGTGGGCCGCAGCCCAGCACTTAACCATGACTGTGAATTCGTCCACACCAGCTAACACCACATGCCTCACCAAAGAAAAGCCCTTATTAGGACTGAGTTCATGAAATGCTTGACCCAATCTAGCAGGCTACTTTTTAAGGTGGTCATTTTGTATGGCCCTCAAATGATGTCATCAGTATCCAAATGGCCCTTAGCAAAAAAAAAAAAAAAAGGTCCCCATTCCTCCTGTAAGTCTTTACTGGAACAGAAAGCCCCATCTTTCTCCCAAAGAGCAGCTGGTGGGCCCGGACTGCTCACCTTGCCATTAGCAGCCTAACACATAGCCAATGATACCACCAGGGCTACTGAGGCCAGATTTACCTGTTGTTGTTGTTGTTGTTAGGTAACCTCCAGTTGATTCTGACGCGTGGTGACTCTGTGTACCACACACAATGGAACACGGCCGGATCCTGGGCCATCCTCACAATTGATCTCATGTTTGAGCCCGTTGTTGCTGCCGGCGTGTCCCTCCATCTCATCCAGGGCCCCTCTGCTTTACCAAGTAAAATACCTTTACTGAAATCAAACCTCAGCTCTCCCATGACTATGTTATGTTGGGCACACAGTGTCACCTCCCTAGATCTCCCTCGCCACAGCTGTCAAATAATAATGCAAGCACCAACATAAAGCCCCTAGCAAGCCCCGGTGGTGCTGAGGGTTCAGCAGTGGGCTGCTACCTGCAAGTCTGGCGGCTGAAACCCATGGCCCACTCTGCAGGAGAGAGACGAGGCTGTCTGCTCTTGTAAATAGTTACAGTCTCGGAAATCCTACATAGGGCCACTTGAGTCAGAACCCACTGCACGGCAGTAGGCATGGTTCCTTCATGCATCACGCAAGGGGTCCTGGTGGCACGGTGGCTAGAGTCCTTGGCAATTAACCAAAATGTCCTCCTTTCAAATTCACCAGCCCCTCTGCAGGAGAAAGATGAAGCTGTCTGCTCCCGTAAACGTTGGCAGCCTCAGGAACTCTCTCTAGGGTCACTATGAGTCAGCATGGACTGCGTGGCCATGGGCTGGCCTGCCTGTCACATTAGAAAGAGCTGGTTGATGCTGGCGACCATTGTTTTTTTAAAAGAGGAGTGGGATAAAGGACAAGAAGCAGTGGTGTAAAACAAAGCCCCCAAATATGTGCAAAAGATAAGGACCGAGGAGTAGGGGAGGCTCCAGGGTGGAGAGGCAGGGCCAGGGACAATGTCTAATGGGGCCTCAGATGGGACCACCAGGTGGCACAAATGTTTGCACCCACCTGCCAGCCTAAAGGTTGGTGGTTCGAACCCAGCCAGGGGCATCGAAGAAGAGAAGCCTAGGGTTGGTATGCCTCTGGAAAGATGGTAGCCAAGAATGCGCTAGGGAGCAGTTCCTCTCTGTAACACATGGAGGTGCTGTGAATCGGTACCTGCTCCCCAGCAGCTCAGAGGAACAAGACCCCAGTCAGCCTGTCCTGTGGACCTAGACGAGACCAATTGGGGAGTTGGGGAGAACTGGATTGTGAAGCTGTGTGTGTGGCTACTAGGTAGTTAGGAGGGTGCAGGCACCCCTGTCTGCCCTCCCAGGTCCACAAACCTCTAAGTGGGAGATATTGCTGGACCCACCCCAGGAGGTAAAATTCTCTGGCTCCCTCCCTCCACACATCCTACCCCTCCTTGTCAGGATCCTAGGATCCTCTGGCCTCACCACCCTAAGGATTCTGTCCAGCCTGCTCTGGTGTCCCCTGGCTGAAGGGCCGGGGGCAGGCTTGACAAAGCTCTTTTCTGAGCAGCCCTGATGTGTTCCTGCAGCCCCCTCATGGGGGTTGGACCAAGTACACCCATGTGGGCTCCCTGCCTGGGCACGCCACTTGCAATGGTGTCACTCTGTCTATGATGGCCCACAGGGCTTTTCAGCTGGCTGTGTGCCGGGTACACCTGCTCAGCCCTGGAGCTCCCGAGGAGAGAGTTTAAAGGCTTGAGCAAAATATCTTGTGTATGCAAGTCTAGGGAAGGGTGTTACCTGATGGGTGGGAGTGCACAGTGTGAGGAACATACATCCCATGAACTGGTGGGTTGAACCTGTGACAAGTGGCATCACTAGGGGTGGGGGGTCTCCCTGTGCAATAACACATGGTGTCCCCACCCCTCCACCCTCGCCACAAACCCCTCTCTGTCCCAGATTGTACAAAATCCTTAATAATGTTGACTCTCAGTTTCAATAATAGAGTGAAATGTGATACAACTATACAGCTTTAATAATACAAAATACAGCAAGGTACTATACCCCTATAGTCATACAAGATATAGTGATGTGATATACAGCTATAGGAATACAAAGGGACCCTGGTGGCATAGTGGTTGTGCATTGGGTTGCTAACCGCAATGTCAGCTGTTCAAAACCACCAGCTGCTCCTAGGGAGACAGGTTGGGCTTTCTACTCCCGTAAAGCGTTAGTCTCAGAAACTCACAGGGACAGTTCTACCCTGCCCAATGCGGTCACTACGAGTTATCATCGACTCAATGGCAGTGAGTTTGGTTTCTTTTATATATATTCTACATTTTCTCCTATTCTATCCAGGACTTCTAATATGATACTTGTCAGAACAGCTGGTAGTGGTAGGCGGGTACCATCTAGTTCTTCTGGTCTCAGGATTATGGAAACTGATGTTTGCCTGGTCCATTAGTCCATTGGACCAATTGTTTCCATGAATATTTGATTCTAATCACGCTTCTTTCTTTCTTTTTAAAATCATTTTATTGGGGGCTCATAGAACTCTTATCATAATCCATACATCCATCCATTGTGTTAAGCACATTGGTACATTTGTTGCCATCATCCTCAAAGCATTTGCTTTCTACTTGAGTCCTTGGTATCAGCTCCTCATTTTCCCCCTCCTTCCCCGCCCCTCTCCCTTAAGAGCCCTTGATAATTTATAAATTATTATTATTTTGTCATGTCTTACACTGTCCAATGTCTCCCTTCACTCTTTTTTCTTCAGGATAGGGAAAGACCAATCATTGCACCTTAGATGGCTGCTCACAAACTTTTAAGACCTCAGTTGAAACACCAGAAAATGTGACAAAATCTGTGACAATATAAACATCAGAAGCAATGAAAACAATGGGGCATCCTTATAGTGCATGTGGTAGTTACATAATCTCCTGTCAACTTGCAAAGGGGTGGAGGGCTAGCCTGTCAATCAGGTCGCAGCCTGATGACCTCATTTGGAGGCTGAAGGAGATAAATACCTCGCTGGAGGGCAAACACATGCTCTGTTTTGTATTCCTGCTGACAAGCCACCTGGAGCTAGAGCCCTGGGGCTGGAGGAGCCACATGGAGACCCACACCAGTGTTGAGATGATTCCACCACCGCTGGATCCACAAGACTTTCCACCCACTGACCTGTGATCTTCCTGCATTCGGTGCCATTGCATGTGTTGTGTGAGTCTGAAGAGGACTTTATAGACTGGTATCAGACATATAGGCTGATATCAGACTTATGGACTTGATCTGGACTGTGCTGGGATGGTTTCTTCTTATTTATTTTATTTTTATTTTTTATTTTTTTAATGATCATTTTAGTGGGGGCTCATACAACTCATCACAATCCATCCATCCATCCATTGTGTCAAGCACTTTTTTAAAAATCATTTTATTAGGGGCTCATTCAAGGGATGGTTTCTTAATATATG